CCCCCTTTTTTCTTTCTTTTTTCTATTTTTTTTCACCTATATGTTTGACCCTTTAATGCATGTAACTTCACAGTATAAAGGAAGACGAACATTTCCTCCCTTGCAGTCTCAGACTCTGGCTCAGAAAGTCCGTCTGATGATCAGGATATATAGTTTTCAGTGAAATTAGTGAAGAAAAAGTGACCACTTTCTTCTCAAAGGGGAATTTCTGTGTGCTTGTCATGCGTTACCAACGGTAACGTTATTTATAGACAAAAAAAAAGATCACTAATTCCACATATTTAAGCAAAACTACATTAAGTAAATATCTACAACCAGAAAGAGAGAGAGAAATTCAGAGGTAAGTGTCATAATTTAGTCCATGAGCAACACGAACGCTTTTATACCTTTAAAGAGAAGATATTTCATTTTCCTGGCCAATTTTAAAACTGTAATATTTATTTCTAAGGTAAAGGAAAAAAAAAAAAAAAAGAAAAAGAAAATGAAAAGAATCTCCCTTAACACCCGTTCCCATGAAGCCCTGTTAGAGGATGCCTGCATTTCATTATTGTAAGTCTGCTTTTCTAAGGAAAAGGGGGAGGGGAAGAAAGCTCCCAATATATAGAAATATGGCAAGGCTTAAATTCTTCATTGTGCAGCTACGTACAGTTCAAGTTATACCGCTTCTAATTTTAAAGAATACACCTTTAACCAAGCTTGTTTACTTTTCCGAGAGAGAGATATGGGGGGAAAGATATTTGAAGCTCCCGAAATGGTATTTCTGTGTTTCAAAGCTTAAAGGAACAAGCCGGCCCCCGGAAAGGCCGCAGGAAGTGGGGAGGTTCACGCACGGCATTTTGTGCATTAACTTAGCTTTAGTCGTGTTCCCCCACCCTCCCTTCCCACTCCAAAGTAGTTCTTAAGAGGTTAAGGACATATCGAGAGCCCCTAAAATCGTTAATCCATACAGGTGCGGATGACTATAGCCTAGGAAAATGATACTGGCTCTTTAAATCATAAAGATGTGTTTATGGGTTCATCAAGAGAAATTAAAGTTGGCTGTGAGCTCCCGAATCCTATTCTCTCTGTTCATTTTCTTCAGTTTCATTCTGCGGTTCTGAAACCAGATTTTAACTTGTCTGTCTGTGAGGTGGACTGTGCGGCTGATCTCTAGGCGACGCTCACGAGTCAGGTACATATTGAATAGAAACTCCTTTTCCAGCTCGAGAGTTTGATGCTTGGTATAGGGGCACCGTTTCTTTCTGCCACTTTTTGCCGTGAGCCAGTTTGCTGCATTTTCTCCTTTTGAATTGCCTAGTTTTGAGAAAGTAAAAAAGGGACGTTACCAGCGGGTAGGAGGCAATGAGCCAGGGAGGGACAGAGTGGAAGGAGCATCTGTGTGTGTGCCGGTGTGTGTTTGGGAATCTCGCTCTGTCACTTGCGGGCGCTTGTAATGCGGGGTGTCTTTGTGGGAACCGAGAGCTTTAAACCGGTTTCCAAATGATCCTGAATCCGCAGGGGAAAATCTGCCTTTCCTCCAAAAGCTCCGGCCAGCCTTGGGCAGGGCAGAGTGCCCCGCTTAGTAGTTCATCTCCGACCCTCCAAAACAGGCTTTTACTAGTTCCCCCTCGGCCTCTCCGAGGCCACTGCTACTGGGGGGTGCTTGGTAAATGGCCTGGAGGCTTATTTCACACAGCTTCAGGCACCTGCTTCCAAAAAACGAAGCCTGTGCGGATCTGAACTTTACAAGCATGCTCTGGAGTTAGAAAACAAGGTGAGCTGAGGAGCCGGAGCCTCCCTGCCTTCCCGGGGAGTTTCGCCTCGGCCCTCTCTTATCCAACCATTTCTGGGAAGGAAAAAACCTAACCAAACAAGAAAACACACCAAAACCCTCAAAACTAAAAATCCCCCCATTACAGGCTGTTTATTACTATCACTGGAAGTGGCTAGGAAAGAGGTAACACTGATCCCTCGATGGCTTGGAGTGGTTCCTGGTTTGGGATTGTCTCTCTAGTAGTTTTCCGCTTTCTTGTTTTGTTTTGACCTTATAATTTTCCAATGTGGCCCTCTGAAGGAATAACAGGGCGTCTGAAATGCAGACGGAGAGAAGCGCCTGCAAACTCTGCCGCCCAAAGAAGGGGAGGTTTTGTTTTTTTTTTTTGCCATGGGGACCCGAAAGGGAAATAAAGAAGCGAATGAATAAATAACAACCCTGTTATCTAGTGTAGACGTTGAAGGATATTCGCGGTGCATTCATCAGTCTAATTTGATGGCAGTTCATAGATGGCACATTTCAGCGCGGCTGTTATTCCGAAAAGCATTCTGGATCGTAAAATATAACTTACCGAGTTAATAGGTTTATTTATTGGCACTGCCTATTGCTTATTTTGGATGCTTTACAAACATCTCTGTTATCTGGTAGGCACCTTCACATCACAGGGAAAAGATTGATCTTGTTTTTCTATATGTTTAAGCAGCATGCGGGCTAAAGTTGCCCAGAGCGGAGACTCTAAGGGGTTTAAGCTATAGGATGGACATTAATTTTTACGGCAACCCCATGCCCTAATATTACGAAGTTCAGAAGGTCAGTCTGAGCAGCGCTTCTTGGCAGCCCCGCGGGGCAGCTGGGATCCTCCTTTTGCATCGCGATGCCGCTATGATCCTCAACAGTTTTTTTTCTTTCTTTTCCTTTTTTTTTTTTTTTAATCATCACCACCACCATCACCATCATCATCATTCGCTTACCTACGGGCTCTTTCTCGGGGGAGGCTTTGCTGCTCTCTGACGGAGCTGGAGAGAGCTCCTCTGCGGTGGAAGATGAAGCCTGAGTCTCGTCCTCCCTCTGGGAGACACACGCCAAGGGGCTGGGGGAGCGCTCCTCGTCCTCCTTCCTCCCCGCGTCCGGGACAGGAGGCAAAGATGGAGGCGTCTGGAAGCGGCCGGGGGGCTGCAGAGGGAAGGGGGCAGCCCCAGCCGGCCCCGCGCCGTAGCTCTTGGAGGTGCCATAAGCCTGGGAAAGGCGGAAGTAGCCCGGGACGGGGACCCCGCCGCCGCTGCCGGCTGGGTTGACCTCGGCACTCAGCCGAGAGAAAGGAGCGAGGTCGGTGGCAGCCGAGCCCTTCGGGCATTTCTCTGAGTCATAGAGGCAGTAGGAGCTCTCTTCCTTAATGCTTGGAGCAAAGGAGCACGAGGTGGCCTGCTGGCTCTCCGGCTCTTCCATGCGACAGGACCGGGGGGGGTCTAGCCACACTTCCATCCCTGACACGTAGGGGTGCGAGCTGGGGACCATGCTTTGAGAAGTGCCTTCATTGCGTTTGCTCAAAACGGGGAAAAGTCCGCAGCTTTGCAGCCCGTAGGACAGATCGGACGGTTGTGGCAGGTAGATACCACTGTTGGGGTAGTAGCCGCCTCCTCCTCCGCCTCCTCCTCCTGCTCCCGCCGCTTCCCCTCTGCCCGAGCTGATCAAGGAGTCTACCAAAAAAGAGTTTGCAGCCGGGCTCTCGGAGCATGACATTGTTGTGGAATAATTTGGCGAAGGGAGCAGATAGCCCTTCCTGGCTGACATTTCTTGTGCAAAACATGCTGAATATGATTAGAGATACCCTCGCACAACGGCAGACGCTTGCAGCCAATGGAAGCCCTGGCCTCCCCAGCAACCCCTCCCCGTCTGGTTTCGTATGCACAGAGCTGCTCTCAGGTCGACCTCTGAATTTAGGGGATAGATGGATATTAATGTGTAATATGGATTTCCATAGACACTGGCTCACACGCTTCGTCCATATGGGCAAGCGCCTGGCCCAGGCAGGAGCTGTGATCCTGGGAAGCAAAGGGAAAGGAGAAAGGCAAGGAGCTGGCTTTGCCGGTGCTGTCTCCAAGTTTTGCTCCTTTCTTATCACACTCTCCGCTATAAAATAGCCCGGCGGTCCTGATGTTTATTATACCTAGGCTGAAACGGTGTCCAGATGAAGCTTTTACTATCGCTCCTCTCTTCCCGCGGTTAGGCTTTCCGACGGCAGTGCCTGCTCACCTTCCTGGGAAGCCTGTGTGTGTCTCACGAAATTAATAAAGCCCGGCTCGCCCGGTGTTTTATGCTCAGGCTCTGCTCATTTTATTTGATTGTCTCGTTTTTTAAGAAATAAAATACGTGTTATTGTTTATCACGGATCATTGGAAACCGTAAAGGGGCCTGGTGCCTCTCGCGTTAAACTGCCGAGGAAGGGGGCTGCTTCCAGCCTAACATCACAGCCACGACGCCAGGCTAGGCTTAAATTTCCTGAGATAAAATGCTTGCTGCTGCGCTGAAGAATTTCTTAGGGAGCAATGCCATTCTGGGAGGATGATTGTGCGGTTGCAGTTCCTAATGCTTTAGTTAACGTTGGACCCTTCCAGAGGTCTGATTACCATTTAAAATATAAAGCTAGACATATGCCACAGAAAGATTCCAGACGCTAGCAGTTCAAATGGATCCTCGCAGGATGCTGCGGACCCTGTTTATTGATGTGTTTATATTTGAGCGATAATTTTTATCTTTCCCCCCCCTTGGGTCATTCACTTTTTGCCTCTTCAAAAGCACCGTCTCTTGCACAAGCAATGTACTAAATAATAGAAAGAAGAATAAGTAGATGAATCCTGAGATACTAGACAGCCTGGTCCGGCCAATTTGCAGTTGTGGCGGAGGGAGCAGACAGATAGCAGACAGACAGGGACGCAGACAGAGAGACAGATAGATTTTCTAATGAATTGCTTAATTATGGCTTGCTTTTACTTCCATCATCTCTCTCTTATGCCATTTCGAAGTCGCCTCACTGCCTGGTCCGCGGAACTCCGGGCTTAAAGGAGACTGAGGCTGCTCGACGCTTTCTGGCTACCCTGAGTAGCCAGGCTCGCTCCCCTCTCCCGCACGCTGCCGGAGGAAGCACAGCCTGGCCGGTCTCCGTTTCCAGTGGAGCAGGAGGGGAAAGCGGCTGCCGTCCGGGCATCAGCTCCTGCCGGGGCGATGGCCGCGGCTTGGCACCAGCTGCCATGCCCAAGAGGGCGCTGGCGGCGGCGGCGGGGCCGCTGCCTGCGGGCGGGGCGGCGGTGGAGCGGGCGGTGGGCCCAGCATCCCTGGTGACAGCCCTCAGATTTCAAGCCGCCCCGAGGAGCAACCGTTCCCCTCCACCCCACGGTTCTGTTAAGCTCCCACGTGGTCTTGCCCTGCAGTGTGTGCCTGCCACGGGAAAACGCTTTTCCCGCGGCGTGACATTCCCCCGGAGAATTCCTCCCCCCTCCGCCTTACGGTAGGAGGTGAGTGTCCCTTCCCTCGGCCTGCCGAGCCGGAGGGGTCCTCCTCAGCCTCCCTCCGTGCTCGCTGAGAGCGCAGGGGGAGCGGGCGGAGGCTTCTACCTACTACTTTGCAACACCCATAAAATCCTTATGCAAAGGCGCCTGTTTTTTCCAGTGAGGTGGGGAGAGCATCACAGCGCGGTTTCCTTCTGAGCAGCCCGTAGTGACCAGTGACTTGGGTAGACCCCATAACCTATGGAAACCCTCCGTGGGTTATTTCCTTCACTTATTTCGTCCTGTAATGTTGTTTATGTTTTTCCAACCAGACTAACCCTGCGATGTGTTAATGTGCGACGGACAAACCCTTATCAGATTCCTACGCGGGTCATATCGGTGCTAACAAAATTAATACTACATAAGACGCAGGTTTATTGGCTGGTATACAGGAAAACTATTATCAATAGGCTTAGAGTTATAAATGCAGATCTAAATAAAATGAAACGTGAGCCCCAACGCCGCCTTCCAAATCCATTTCTCTACACAAGCCAGGTACAAAAATTACTCCGGGGAAGTCCGCTCTTGCGGTATGTTTATTTTGCATTTGCCAAATTAAATAGAAATGGATTGCAAACCTAAAAGCCATACGGAACCAAGGAGCAACACTTGAAATCCTTCCAAAGCTGTTTTTAAAACAAGCAGCTCCCTTAAAAAAAAATTGGATTAAAGGGGGAAAAGGCCTATAAAAGGACATTCTCGTCAGCCGGAATGAAACGACTCGAAATGCTCTGGAAGAGACACGAGTTGGCTTCTTCTCCCTCTTTGCAGGCCAGTTCAGGGAAATCAGACAAAAGGCGTGGAGGCCGGGGACAATTTGGAAGGTTTAAAGTTTTCCTAGCCTCTCCTCGTGGGTTTTGCAGCAGAAGGCTGGGGTTTGTCCGCCCTTGGAGGGTGTCAGGCTCTGCGGGAGCTTCCGTTGGCGGGACCTGGTTGTGCGGTTTTAGTAGCGATGTCCATTGTTGGTTTGATGGTCAAGGCACAGCCTCTGTCTAGATCATGAACTCAGCTCGGAGTGGCATTATCTCCGCTTTCTTTAATCGCTAACAAGGCCAAGGCAAATAGTAACCAGCATCGTCAAACCCAGTGAAGTAAAACTAATAATGTTCGCTTGATTCGAAACTATAAAAGATAATGGTCAATTCTGACTAAACGGAGCTAATTTGGCATGCGCTGGGTGTAGCTACTGCATTTCCAACCTTACAATGTGTCCCTTGGAGCTTAACCCCCATTTAAATGAAATTTTAAAGAATATTGTGGACGCCAGGGGACGAGAAATACTTTCTTTCTAATTCTACTCCTGTAAGTAAAGCTATCCGAGGGTCTATAAAACCGAGCAAATAAAATCCTGATAAATATCAAAACCGGCGAGGAGGTGCTTTCATGGAGAATCTAAATTCATGGCGTACATAGACAACAATATCAAAATAAAACTTTATTGATCTAAGAAAAATATGATAGATGCATTAATAGCGTCGTTAAGCCATTTTATTGGTCGGACTAAAATTAAAAACAAAAAGGGAATAAATAAAACACGACAGCTCAGCCTGAGCAAACTCTGACTGGAAATCGCAAAATGGATCATGTTAAACCGTGATTTATCTTTTTGTTATTGGCCTGTATAACCCAAAAGATCAGCACTGTTAATCCAGAGACGCGTTTTGCGAGCTAATTAAAATATACTTTTATTTGTAGACATGGGTAAACGGCAATTCGTGAAAACGTAAATAGCCTTGCAGGCTGTTGCAGGAGTGCATGCACCGCCGATCTGAGAATACAGCCGCTAATTACGTTTTATACAGCTCCAAAAATTAATGCAATCAGGGTATAGTTATTTAATACTGGAACTGTCAGTTGTCAAGAACGTGCGTGTGTGCCAGATTCCTCCTTTTGTGTGGTGGGGTTTTTTTTTGTTGAGGGTTGTTTTTTTTTTTTTCCCCTTCCCTGGAATTGCTCCAAAGAAGGCGGATTTCAAACAGGAGGTTTAGGAACTGCGTCTGTGCCAAGTTAGGTGACAAATGACGGCCCCACTAATTTTATCTTTACTATATATTCTTTCATGCTGGTTGTGGTGGTGAGGTTGGCTTGTTTTGGCGGATTATCCTGCTAAAACTTAGGCTGAGATTTAATTTTATTCCAGCCATCCGGAGGCTTGTTCTCCTAACCATGTTTTATATTATATATGTATCGTTTTACTCATTTGGATTAGGAGCATATTTTGCAAATAAATCCGACGAGCTCCAAACTCCTGTGTGCGGCAGGACAAAATACACACGACCAATTCATTAGGGCTTCATCTCCGCGCCCTTCCTCGGCACGGGCGAGAACAACGGGGCTTTCTATTGTCCAGAGAGCCCCGAACGCCGGGCAGAAGCAACAGCAGTATCGGGTTATAGCATGTGCCAGGGAAATCTTACATACCCCAGTTAGTCTTTTAAGTGTAGCCCTTCTGCTGTAAGAGATGGGCTGCACAGCTGTATTAAGCATTTGAAACTGTATCGCTTCTCCCCTTTTTGTAGCTGTCTTTCCTTTAAAAAAGATCTGGATGCATACACATGTCTTTTTTGGTTGCGGTACAACTCGGCTCTCAGACACACACTTTGGCCTGAAGTTTCGATTTCAGAGCATTTAATGAAAAGATTGTGACAAAAAAAAAAAAAAAAAAAAGAAGAAGACAACAAAACAGAAACCCAAAGAGCTTATGAAAAAGCCTCCCAGGGGTTTGAATGTGGTATGTGAGCTCAAGTTGAGTACGCGATTAATTAAACACAGTGTAGACACTGAGTTGGCTTCGCCACTTCCCTCCAAAACATGCAAACCCAAATCATGTGAAATAATAAACAGTTATTGTAAGAAACAAGTTTGTTTTTTTTAAATATTATCCTACGACTGCGGCCGTCAGTAAAAAATTCGTAACCAGAGGGCGCTTTAACTGCTGCTAGGGTCCCTTTGATTTATTCAACCGAGTATTGAACTGGGCAGGGAAACAACGAAGGGAAAAATAAATATTTGATCAAATATGCTGAGTTTAACTTGACTGGTGTAAAATGAAATGTTGCAAAGGGACCCTCAACTCACCCTGCTATTTTCCGAGACGTTGCTTCTCACTTCTTGGCACTGCTGAGGGGAGGTCAAAGAGATAAACATTCCCGAGCTTTTAATGCAGCATCTCTGATGAAATCGATCGGTTCCGAAAGCATTTCAAAACAGCTCTCTACCGACTGAGCATGTGCTTTTAACTACACTTGCAGCAGTTCCCTGAGAGCACAAGGGTGCTTTCTTTAAGAATACTGCAGACAAGTTGCATTACCTTACATGAGAGAGCAAGGATAAAATGACCTTCCACCCCCCCACCCCCCACCCCCTTTCTTTCTTTCTTTTTTTTTTTTTTTTTCCTCCCCGGACAGGTATTTTTAAATTGAATATCTCTCCTAAGAGACATGTGAATTAAAATATGCAGCCAAACAAGTATCTCCCCCGTATAATACCACCTTCTCTCCCGTCCTTCTCAAATGGAGACATAACAAAAACAAGTGAAACTTTTATGGGCGAGAAAAGCAACCTGGAGTTAGGGATACTCGTAGCCAGGATAGAGTTTCAAAGCTACAACCCAGAGCAGCCCTGAGCACATGAGGATGCCTTGACTATTGTTTGTTTAGAGCCCATGAGCTGTTTTAGAGAGATAGATAGACAGACAGACAGATAGAGGAAATCCAACTATGGTCTCATATAAACATTGACTTCATATGCAATCACATAAAGAGTTTTTAGCGTGTGTCAAAATTTGTTTACCACAGCCTGTGTCCAGCTGCAAGGAAGCAGCCTATCCTTTAAAGTTACCAAACGACCCCAACTAAACTACAGTTCAAGTCCAATAAGATCGTCAGAGTTGTCTGTCATTTGCAGTCTCTGTTGCCATAGATCTATTTGATTGAAGACACCTACTGTTCCAGACATAAATGTCAAGTTTCATAATATTTCCAGTGTTACAATTTTTTTATAACTGGAAGAAAACTACAAGTTACTCTGAAAAAATATTTCCAGATAACGTGGGTTTTTCCACGCTGCTGGCCAAAACTTTAAGAAGAGAAAATAAAAGGTCAACTGCAACTCAGAAAGCCCTTTCTATATTATTTCACGTCGTAATCACCAACTTTTTGCATTGCTTTCCTTCCCTAGGGTTATTTTCCGTTGTGCTCCGTGCTTGGATCCGGGGCCACCCCAGCTGGCTGAGGACCACCGCCGCCAGTGCCCGCTTCTCTCCCTTCTCCACTCAGAGTAGATGGATAAAACACTTACCTCCGCTCATGTTCCAACCCAAAGCCCAGAGGCTTTAACTCCACCGGGAAGCCCCAGCAGCTCCCTCCCCTCCCCCGGCATCCCGAGCGGCTTTTTGTAACGCGGAGCCCGGTAAGTGAAATAATTATCCGTGCGGCTCCAGGGATGCAAAATGAACAAAGGCCAAGATTTTTTTTTTTTTTTTTTTTTTTTTTTTGCAGGGCTGCTCCCCTCGCCTTGGGCGGCTTTGACATTGATCTGAAGATCGCCATCTTGTGGCAAAACAGCCTTCAAACCGCAGCCGTCTGTCCGTCCGCCTGCCAGCCGTCCTGCCGCGGGGCCCAGCGGCAAGAACGGCGGGCAGGCGGACGGACAGACGGATGGATGGTGGAGGGCAAGTGGCCACTCACCTCTCGGTGCGGAAAGCTCCGCTGCCTTTATAGCGATGTATTTCGTGCAGGCGAGCGGACAAGTCACGGACACTTTTTATGACCACATTGTCACAACAACACAGAGGATGCGGTTTTATTGGGCTAGGAAATCAAAACCCCGACCAGAGAAACTCCATGTCTTAACTGTCTCTGGGATTGGCTAGGAATGCCAGTTAATTTTTAACCAGAAAAGGAAGCTTCCTGGCTTAACTTACATTGCCATTTAGCTCACCATCCGTCCCTCTGTCCCTCTTCCACTGCCTGTCCCTCTGTCCATCTCCTTTAACTGGCATCACCACTTGCACACTAGGCAAACAAACAAACAAAAAGTCCCCCTTTTCCCCCCTCACTTTTTAACATCTCCTTTGGGCAGAGGTTGCCTGGCTAGGTGGCAGATGTCAGCAAAGGCCCAAAGTCAGTAAGTCCTTCACCTCAAGGTTATGGGTGATGTCCAAGCAATACAGAAGTTCAAAGCCAGTAAACAATGTGAAAACAGAATGTACTTTCTTCTCCTGATTAGGATTAGGGTCAACATGAAAGATTCAAACTCTTCTCAAAACACATTCCTATCTCAGCTATTGTTTGGAGTTTTCTCCCCCCCCCCCCCCCCACTTTCTCCCTCCAGCCCTCCTCCCCTTCACTCCCCCTGCCCACCTCAGTCCACCTCCTCCCTGCCCTGGAGATCAAGGACAATTTCAAACAGTCGATTTCCACCACAGGCCTTTTCCACCATAGGCCTTTTCCACCACAGGCCTTTTCTTTTTCTTTTTCTTTTTTTTCAAAGACAGCAATTTTCTTAGGGCTCAACATCCATCAGCTGGCTTAGACCTTCCCTTTGGTTATAAATTCCCTTTGGCTTATAAAACCTATCCCAAACGCCACTGACACCGCCAGCATTTCCCAAGGAGTTCTCCTGAACTGAGGTGGTGGGGAGCAAGCAGCAATGTCACATCAAACCCTGGAGCATAGAACCTTGCCTTACCGGCCTTGGCAGGGTAAGAAAAAGGCCTAAGACATAGCGAGCTACCAACATACTTCATTATCCTCTTCCTGCGGCCCCCTAAAACGACGCTTGAGCAAGCCAAGGTTCACTTGCTAACTCCAGAGCAGAAGATTTAGCAGCGAAGTTCCCAAAAGAAGAATAATTCTCCATAATGTCTGAACAAGGTCACGAGGAATTTCGGGTCCCAAAGTTACATCAGATAAAAGAACATGCAGTAACTTAACACCAGAGTAAAAATATAAAGTTTCCATTTTTTTATTTTCCTTGTGCGCTGTTCCACTGTATACATGCAACCAAATACTTCGCATATTAAAAGAAAACTGTATATACATATAGACGATACATGTTGAAAACAGTGATGTCCTATAAAGATACTGCATTTCGTGAACCGTGACAAAGAAATTACATCCATTTCGTAAATTTATTAATCAAAAAACATTCTTATTACCACTTTGTTGCACATGTAAAGAAATCCCAAACCCTTTAGCCCCAAAGGAACAACAACAACACAAAAAAACAGGGGAAGGGGAGAAAGGCATTCAAACAAAATAGGTCATGGGTTCTTTTTTTATTATTTACAAGTCTTGTAAAACAACGTTCCTGTATGAAATATACATTCAGATACTCTCAACAGCAAATTACCTTAACGATAGAACACAGTATCCTTTGTAAACTGATGCAGAATTTTAAATATTTTCTTTTTTTTTTTAATATATTTTTTTTTTTTTTTTCTTAAATTGCGGGGGGGGCGGTATTTGTTGGGTGGTTGTTTTTTTTTCTTGCTTTTTTTTTTCTTTTCTTTTCTTTTTTTTTATTATTTCTTTCACGCTTTGGTTCCTGCAGGGAAATATATATATTTATATATACTTAAAATAAGTCCGAACAACTCTCAGTTCTTTGCATACGTCGACTGGGCTACAAAGTAGAGCTCTTGACATTTAAAGTAGACAACAACAAAATTACCATATTTACATTGTTTGGCTTCTGTTTAAACTCCTCACTAGTCACCTTTAAAAGAACATGCGATGGGGTTATTTTAATGATCCAATGTTAGTGCATTGCACAACTCCAAGTTTCAATTAAGTGTTGTGTGGTATTTGCTAAACTGTCGTTCTCCACAGGTATTTCCTGAAGAAAGTTTGTGAGCCAGAAGCCAGAAGGTTAGTTTCCTTTATGGAGCTGTTTCTTTTAAAACACTTAAATTCACACTTCTCCCCCCTCCCCCCTTTTTATTTTTAGTGTTTAAATATGATTTGTCTCCGAAAAGATGGCAACGCATAGTCAGTTGTCATAAATAATACAAGAGCTAAAAATCTGCTAATTTTTTCTTTCAGTGATTGTTTCTTTACGATATATGGCGAATTTATACCTGATTTTTTTTTCAGTAAATAATTAAGTCTTTCATTTAGTTCTCTTTCTTCCCCCTAGCCCTTTCCTCCCCACACCCCCAAAGGAAACTATTAGAACCATCACTACATCCACATTACAACTGCTTGCGGTTGGCTTGTGAAGGGGTAGGCATGTCATCCCCCCCTCCCTTTAATTCTCTGTGTGTTGGGTGTGTGTCCCCTCAAATTCTCTTTTCAAACACACGGGCAGTAGAGCACTGCCTCTAACCTAGACATATTTTCTGCTAAGGAAGAACAAAAGGTTTTTTTCTCAGAGTTTGTATTCTGCAGTGGTCCTAGGTGGGTGAGCTCGACCTGGCAATCTCCAGACCCTGGTCCGCAGCCGCCCAGGGGCGAGGAGGGCAGGGAATGGGCGAGTCCGGGGACAGAAGGATGCCATCCTCCGGTCTGTGTCCCCCGAAAGCGGTAGCAGGGTGAGCCGCAGTGCCTGGAAAGGTAAGAGGTATGGATTTTGCCCTCAGAGGTGACGTGCCCGCTCCGAAATGGGTGCCATGTGTGTCAAAATAAAATCGATTCCAGTTGATATGTAAATATATCGATATATGTAAAATCACCATTGAAGTTCCAGAGTAGATTTACATGTATGTAAACCCTTGGACTCTTCTAGTCCCGTCAGATACACACCTCCTTCCTCCATGTAACCCCGTGGCTTGACCTTGTCAAGGGCGAAATCTGAATTTAATCTCGTCTTGAAAAACGCTATGAGTTTTAAAGTAGTGGATTAGCTGAGTAATATTGTAATCGGTCCCTGTTAATTTTTTTTTCTTTCATTCTTCTATTTTGAAACCATATTTTCACTTGGCGGTCGGTCAGATTGAGCATTCGGGAGAGCTGGAGGCGTTTCTCTTTGTTTATGTAGACACTGAAGAAGAATTCCCTTTCTAACTCCCTAATCTGATATTTGGTGTATGGACATCTCTTTTTACGGGTACGTTGTCCACCTGTGGAGCGAAAAGAGGCAGAAGCGTTTGAGACCTGGAGGGGGCTAAGGAGAGGTGGGGGGGACACAGCCCAAAAAAACACGCTAACAGGGAAAAGAAGCATTCTGCCCGCTCCAGGGCCGGCGGTGGCAAGTCCGGGGCTGGGGGCCAGTCCCACGCCTTGGCCGGTGCTGGCAGCCAGGGAGCGGGACAGTCCGCGGCCAGCCTCCACCCCAGGTGTCGGGCTGGGCTAAAGCCCCAGCGGGTAGCAGGGATCCGGCCTCATTGCCTTGGCGAGGCGGGCGGCCAGAGGAAGGGCTGGTGGCGGGGGGTTCCTGCGGGTTTCACGACCTGGAGGGAAGCCTTTGTAGAGTACTTCGCTGGGCGCCGTGCACACGGAGCTGCCCAGGGAGCAGCCGTCACCTGGCTGCCTGCAGCGGGCAGGGCGGCAGTGCGCAGGGATATCCCACGCCAAGCCTTCTTCGAGCCTGTACCCGCTCGGATCTCGCCCTCCTTCCCTAGGTTAATCCCCAGTAGAGGAAAAAAGCCCTGAGCCCAGGGCCAAGGCGCGTCATTCTCCCCCAGCCGGCTATTTTCAAGCATGCTCTCCGCAACATCAAGGTATTCTCCTCTCGATTAGCCATTACGGTTTTAAAGTTCATTAAGCAGAATATAAAAGGTTTCAGGGTTCAGGAGCTCTTTACGTTAAACGTAGCTCCTATCCGTTTAAAAACTTCCTTTTCTGGTACAGTTCATTGTCGAGGTATTTTTACCCCCTAGTCGTATACTGGCTTTGCCTTTTTAAAAGCCCACATAAAAAAATCAGACTTTGACAGATTGAATAACAATTGTAAGTAACAAACTGTTGGACAGAAGGCAACACATAATTGCCACAGTGCTTTAGTAAAATGGCTTCCTTTAGACAAAAAGGCCAGCTTTAGGTTAATTTGTTTCTTTTAATATATTGCTGCAGTTCAGGCGGCTACTTTATCTGTTAAACGCTATTCTAGTGCAATCGTTAAAACGGTTAAGGCTTTGAATTCAGCTCCTAACTAGACTTCTGGTGCAACACATGGCTTTTATAAAATCACTGGATTACATTGATATCAAAGGAGTCGGGATCTCCTCTTTTCTTTTTTTTTTCGAAATTTACAGGCACCGAATGGACGTTATTATATTTGCGAGAGCTGACCACAGAGCTCTTCTTTATTATTATTAAAAAAAAAAAAAAAAGTAAAGAGGGAGAATTTTTTTTTTAAGGTATCCATTGCCCGGTGGGTATTTCACGGCCAATTTCAGCACTAAACACGTGATCTCGCCTTTTATAACAAAGTTTTGTTGGGGGAAATCTAAAGGCCCTTCATAAACCTTATATGCTTATAAAACAGCATATAAAAATTTAACAGCGGCGGTGCGCTAGATTTGAAGCTGCCTTTCCTAAAAGCGCTCGGGCGCTGCCTTTATACGTACTGGAGCTGCCGGATTTCTCCTCATTGTTGCCGGAAGATGACTCCGGGCTGCTGCTGCTCTCCGGCCGCCTCTGCCTCTCCTTCGCCGCCGCCGCCGCCCTGCCGCAGCCGCCCTCCGAACTTGAAGTTGCCGCCGCCGCCCCGGCAGCCGCGGGCGCCTTCTCGCCACTCTTGTCTACCGGGTAGTCCGCCGAGGCCAGGTTTTCCGCCGTGCCATAAGCCGTCTCGAAAAACTGGTCGAAAGCCTGGGGCAGGACCCCGTTCCTGCCCACCGTGCTATAGAAATTGGAGGAGACGTTGCTGCTGGGGTGGTAGACGTTAGCTGTGTTTTTGCCGAACATCTCGCCCATGCTAGTAGTGTTGGTGGCAGGCAGGCAGTCTCTGTGCATGATCTCCTCTGCGGAGTAGCAGTGGGGCAGATTGTTCCTGGGGTGCCATTTACTGGAGGGATCAATGGCATATTCCCTGAAGGTAACTTCTCTCACAGGTTGGACCTGGGGTAGGTTGGAGGAGTAGGAGTATGTCATAGGGCGAGAAGACGGGGTCTGGGGCAAAAAAGAAGGGAGGCTGGAAAAATCAGGACCCGAGACGTAGTAAGTACAACTTGGCAAATACATGTTAGAGGAACAAGGAACACGCTCATCAAAATCCATCATTAGGGCTACCTCGGCTTCTCCGCATTAGCTGAGCTTAACATGATTCTCTAACGCAGCTGCCTCTTTGAAGCAGATCCGTGAAGTAAGAGATGGGGAGACGTAAGCTGACGTGGAAAGCTCTCCCCGGCGGCGGCAGGGAGGTGCGGTCACGTGGCCCGACGTTGACATTGACGAGCGGCGGGTCCGGGCCCCGCTCCCTTTGTGGCCAGCGCGGGGGGAAGCAACAGCTCGTCGCCGGCGCCCAGGGGCGAGCCGAGCTCGGGGGGGGAGCCCCGGGGGACACGGACACACCGGGCCACTGCCGCAGTCCCGGACCGGGCCGCCCGGACCGAGCCGCCCGCTGGCGCTGGGGCGCAGACAGCGGTCCCACCAGGGCAGGGTGAGACCTTCCCGCTGGCCCTGTGAGGGCTGGGGCGTTCTGCGGAAGGACGGCAGGCTCCGGGCGGAGGGTACAGCAGAGATCCAGGCATGGCTCCTGCTGGAGAGCTGCTGCCGAGGAGGAAACGCTCCTCAAGGAACCGACCGGGGGCTTATTTCCCCCCACCCCGGTTTTTTTCCCCGTTTGGTTTAGTTCGGTTGGAGTTCTCCCCCCCTTAAAAAAAAAAAAAAAAAGCCAAAAAAAAAAAAAAAGCCCTCGCCCCGCAGGGTTTTTCTTGAAACTAGGAAGAATGTGCCAGGGTCAAGTCTGTACTGATTTTCATGGTGAATAGATTACATGCTTGCATTCATGTTCACTTCCGAAGCGCTTAGTGTCTTCCTTCCCTTACTTACATATTAACCTCAAATACCCCGCGCGGCTTCAGTCAAGCTTTGCTGGAGGTAGTTAACAATGTCGGGGTCCCAGGACGCAGGTTCGCCCTCCTCACCCCCTCCAAACAGTCCCTTGCCTCATTCGCAACTCCAGAAAGCCCTTTTAATTGCAGACCACGGAACTAAAGAGTGTTTGCTGATCTCTCCGCCTCAACGCTGCCGCCAAACACTTGGAAAACCAGTGGAGATTGGGCTACCCTAGTTTGACAAATACGTAGAGTTTAATTGCCAGAAGCCTAGTTAAAATTATTTGACATACTGTTAACCCCTAGAAAGAAACTTGCCGTACCGAGATACTTCTCTTTTTGCTTCGTACCGTCACTGAAGGCTGAGACCCAGGGAGACCTATTTTAAAATCGTGGTTAAACTTTTACTATTGTTGCATGAAAGGGATGATATAGAAAGCGGATTGAACAGGGCAGAGACTAAAAAGTACTTCTCTGCCAATAAAAACGCACAGCCCACCGAATGAGCAGAGCCAAAGAAAACATAGAAATACGCCAAAGAATACAGCACCTTTTGAGGCATGGACATCCCTAGGCTCTCGGAGAAAATATTTTTTTGCTATTCTGATGCTCGATTTCAGAAAGGAAATATTTGGGTTCCGGCTGGATTTCATCAAAATAGAAAAACAGAACGGCAAAAGGCTATTGTGAAGTCGGTGCTCTTAGGAAATCAGACGTAGTTCAAGATCCATGCCCCCGTGGACTTTGGAGGCTAATGGAAGGGAAACGAAAACGTTAGGGGAAGAATATTTGGATTTTCCCCCTTCTTCTTCTGCAGTGCTGTGGAAGTATTTATATATCCGGAGAAAGTTCTCCAGTAAATTCTGGAGATCTTCGGTATTTAAATGTCAACATCGATTTGTTTATTTATTGCTTAGCTTATCGTAACTGACTCAATAACAAATCTAATCATGTTGTGCACGGAGAAAATATTCTCATTATGTATTTTCCCTACATTACAGTTAACTATTGCGTTTGAATTCAAGCTGTAAATTCAGTATTATCAAGTAATTACTTTGCAGTGGAGTAAACTAATTTATTAGCATTAATGTTTATATGCCTTTTTCTTATTTTACAAGGGTTACCGTTCACAAATCAAATGCTCTGGACGTATCCCTGTAATGAACTCTTTATTTTGGTTTCCTGCAAGAACTTCTTACGCTTACTGCACGCCTCCGAGCTGAACTTGAAATTAATGAATTAATCTTCCAGCTTGACGTATTTGCTAGAAAGCGGATGGAAAGAGATTGCGCATAGTCAAAACCGCCAGCAGAAGACTGCAGCGTCGTTTAAGGACTGTAAAAGGGTTTGGGGGTTTCCCTCTTTATTTTTTCCCTCTCCTTTTTTTTTTTCAACTTGGGTGGGGGAGCGTGTGTGCAAGAGCTCTGGTTGGCTTTTTCCTTAACGTTATACTTCCCGCTTCTGAAGGGGGATGGGGGTGTGGGGTGGGGTTGGGGGGTCGGAAGCCCTCTTTTGGTATCCGAGCGCTGTTTCTTTTCCCTGTGTCCCCCCACCCTTCAATTCCGTAGGTGAAAACCCTCTCCCCACACCCTGCTCACACTCAGACACCCATCC